ACTTCAGCTCCCAGAATTCCCCAACCACCATGGCTGGCTGGGGAATTCTGGGAGCTGAAGTCCACACATCTTAAAGTTTCCAAGGTTGAGAAACGGTGCCTTACATGGAACCAAGGAAGGAGCACCGGCAAGCATTTTTCTAGCCCATTGCCTGGCGCACTGGAGGCCATCTGTATCTGTGGGCGAGCGATGCCCCAAGCACAACCTCTCACCGGTGCACTGGGGCAGGTTGCATTCTCGCTCCTGGAACGCGTCCCCTGCGCAGCCAGTCCCCCCTCGGCAAAACCGCACGCGGGTCTTGAGGGCAGGGAGGTCTGGATCGCTGCACGTCTTCGAGCAGGGCGTCCAGGGGGACCAGGGGGTGAAGCTGTCGTCCTCGGCCCCTGCAGCACGGGGCAAAGGATGAAAGGCACGTCAGCGCGACCCGGGCTTCCTTCCGCCCCTCCTCCCGCCAGAGAGCGACCAGGAGCTCACCTGGGGTCCCTGTGGCTGGCTCCTTGGTGGCTTCGGCCCCTTCTGCAAAGCAAAATCCGAGGCAGAGTGCAGTTAGCAGAGCTGACCCCTTCCCTTCCCTTCCCTTCCCTTCCCTTCCCTTCCCTTCCCTTCCCTTCCCTTCCCAGTAGTTCAAAGTGTGCCTCTGTACGTGTGCATAGAGCATGCACAGAATATGCTCCAATAAAGTAGGGAGCTTGTTCTGGCTTGTTATTTATTTTATTTATTTATTTATTATCAAACTTGTAGGCCGCCCATCTCCCCCAACGGGTGACTCTGGGCGGCTCACAATAATAATCCTTCACTGTGGAAGGCCCGTGCATGGCGTACAAGAACCTTAAAAGTTTTGTAAGCCCAGGCCACTGCTGGCAGACAAACTCACAAGCCGCCCCGGGAACGAGGCAGGAGTAGCTGTACGGGGGGGGACGGAAGTGCCTCTTGCGGGGCCTGGCGGTCGGCTGAGAGGGCTCTGGCGGGAGTGCTCGGTTCTGGAAGCCGCTTCGGAGATTCTGGGGCACCATCTCTCAGGGCCCATCCCATGGGTTAGGAGAAATGCCACCACCGAAAACAACCCCGTCCGTTGCTGGCCAGGAACACGTCACACCCAGAGCTTGTGGCTACAGCCTCTGAAGCGGCCCCCAAGCATTTGTAAGAATTGGTACACTGGACGCGCATCTTCTGCCTGCAGACGTCTGCATGGGAACGAGCAGGGGATCCTGGCTCCGTTTCCCCACTGCAATCTTAGTTTCCCAGCCGGGAATGGGGTCTTCCAGCTTTCCAGTCTCCCACTTCCCAGTCTGAAGTGGCTGGGCTTCAGCTGGCCTTCATAGGAAGCTCCTCTACAGCCTCTCGGGCCGCTGGACGAAGCCCAGAGCCGCGGTGGCCAGCGCTGGCGCTCACCTTTGCAATCCAGGGTCTGGCAGTATTTGATATCCATCCGGGGTCCGGCACAGTCCTTCCCCCCGTTGGCAGGCTTCGGACTGGTGCAGTCGCGTGACCTGGTCATGTTGCCCAACCCACCGCAGGTCAAGGAGCAAGGGGACCACGGGCTCCATGCTGTGAAGCCCCCGTCCACGGGGCAGAGGGTGAAAATGCAGGCTAGGTGGCCGTTGCGACAGGAGCTGAGGAGAGGGGAGGAAACAGTCTGCCTAGATGTCCAGGGAGAATTTAGGTCCAGGAGTATCCATGGAAGAGAGGTCAAAAAGCTACAACTACATGATTCAATGCCATCTTGACCTTTTGCCAAATTCTGAAGTTGGCGTATGCCCCAAACATACAAAGAACTACTTTAGCAAAGTAGTCAAAGTAGTAATTTAACACACATTAGGTGCATTTAATCCATATGTAAGGTATCATCTGTTACATATCTAACTTTTGGCTCTTAACAGACATCCTTTGCCTCCTTAACCTGGGGTGGGGGGGAGGGTTTACCCTGTGGCAGGTCTGGGGACTCGCTGGAACCGCTGAGTTTTCCTGCTTCAAGCAAAAGCAGCAATCCATCTGATCCCACCTTGAGCGGGGGTGCTTGGACTATTCTCCTTCTCCCCCCCACAAAAAAGAAGGCCCTGGTTGCAGGGACTCTTCCCCCAACTCCAGGGGCCAGGAGCTGAACCCCATTTGCAGGGGGACACACTCACCAGTTGCTGCAGGCAGCGGAGATGGTGCTGTTGGGGGCCACCTCTTCCTCCGGAGAGACTCGGCGGCCTTGGGCAGTGAGGACGACCAGAGGGGTGTCGGGGGGGTCAGCCGAGTGGCTCTGAAACCCCTGGAAAACCTCCTTGCTCAGGACGCAGGGGCACTCCTGGGCCAAGAAGAGAGAAGGGAAGAGGGGGGCGTGGAGGTCCCGGGAAGAGCCCGCGTGGAGGCTCAAGGGAGCTGCCTGATGGGGCCTGGACCGCATCATGGCCAAAGAAGGGGCCCATCGCCAGGCTGCGTTTTCCACGGATGCTTCAATCCTGGATGATCCCAGCGCCCACAAAGGGACTGGGGGAAAATAGTCCTGCAGAACCTTTAGAGCCCTCCCGGAAAAGGGCTGCAGGGGGCAGAGTGGCATTTTTGCTTTCTACACTGGAGCGAGACACTTTCCCAAGCATCTGTACGCGGCATCCAGGATAGCCCCACAGCAGGACCCAGATGCTGCCTCCATCTTCCTTAAAAGCATGCAGCCTTAGGGTGCTCAGGGCCTGGGCAGGTGCGATGTTTGTGCCTCACCCAGGTGCCAGCCAGCCCCTGCTCTTGTTTCTGCCCCCTTCCCCCCACCCCCAGAAGCTCCAGAGAACAATTCCAGCAGCTCCAGCCCTGCAAAGGGTTCCCAATTGCCCTCCGAGTAGCCCAGGTGCAGGAGCTCCAACCTGGACGCAAGTCCCCTTGTGCTGGTAGGTGCCCGCCGGGCAGTGGCATCCTTCCTCGCAGCCATCAGAGAAGCAGTCCATCTGGTGGGTGAGGTGGGCACAGCTGTAGGGACACCCCTCTTCTGCCAGGCACTCCCGGTACAGGCGCCCCACCGGGCAGCCCACCTCTGAAAGGGGGAAGGGGTAGATCAGGACCCAGAGCCCCTCAGCTGCTCTGGGGCTCCACAGCCAGGTGAGGAGCCACCAGCGGCCTTGGGGGAGGGGCCATCTCTACTTCTTTGTGTCTCTTCCTGCTCCAAGGGCAGCTTCCACGCAAGTCCACAGCATCTGCTCCGGACTCAGAACTTCCACCCCTGGAGCAAAGGCAGAACGGGGCCCTGGGGGCCCCTCCAGCCAGGCAAGCCCCATGGCAGGTTTTCTAAATGATTTTCAGTCAGCTGAGGGCCACCCCCAATATCCCCAGGGCAATGTAGAGGAAAAGAAAGATAAAGTTGGCGAAGGAATCCAAGAGCTGCCTGCAGATAAGAGAGAGCGAATGACATCTCAGCCCTGGGGAAGGAAGGAGTGCGAGAAAAAGACTCAGGATAACCCACTTTGATTTGCTTTGGTATAAGAGGGGGCAGAGGGAGACTCTGGCAAGCTGTCAAGGTTCGGTTATTATACTTCCAACAATAAATCAGCATCCCTGGAGTCCTTGGCTGTGTTTCCTGACCCAGTCGCCTCAAAGGGCTGACAGACTGGCATTATGGTCCAACAGATCTGGAGGGCATGAGATCAGGGAAGGCTCTTGCAAGGCACTCCCTGCCAGTCCTGCAAAGGGGGAGTGGGGGTCAGGGCCCTGTCCAGGTGTCAGCCCTTCAAGGTAGTCCAAATTAGGAAACCAACGCCATGTAGGTCAGTACTATTTTTACTGTAAAGCTGTAGTGACAGAATCTTGCAAGTCTTAATGTACTTCCCTCTCCCTCCGTTTATCTTCGTGTGAACTAGGGAAGGGCTTATTTGAGATGTTTATTCATGTTACGTTCTTGTCCTGGGCTGAGGCCCCCTCTTATCTGCCTTGCTAGTGGCTCTTCCTCCGGTCCTTCAAGGCCATTCCCTCTTCCCTCTACACCAGGCCATGTGCGTTTTGGGGCCTAGAGCCTTCAGAAGAGGCTGCATTTGTTGCAACACTGTGGCCGTGTTCACACAACCTGCTGAACCACTTTCTGAGTTGCACAATATATGGAACTAAAGACTAACCAGCTGGCTGGATCCGTACAGCATGTAAGTCATGAAAATGAACAAACTGCAGAACAGGGTTAAACCGAGCCAACATTAGATATCATGTGAATGCAGCCACTAGGCTTCTGACTGGCTGGGCTATGAGTGTTGTGCAAAGAAGGCCTGGCTGGATCCAGAAAGGCCACAAGGAAGCCATGGGTTGGGTGCCCCCAGCCGACTCACCCAGACAGACATGGGTGTTGCAGGTCTTGCTCTGGGAGGCCAGGCCCTGGCAGCTCGGCTGGCGACACCGTCGGCTGCGCACCTGCTCTCCCCCTCCACAGGAGACACTGCAGGGGGCCCACGGGGTCCAGGCGTCCCAGGCTTCCTCCTCTGCTGGATGCAAGGAAAGCAGGACGTTGGGGGAACTCCTTGCAGAAAGCAGTTGCTGCTTCCGGACTCTCTTCCCGGGTCTGTGCCAGCATGTTTGGCTGAAGCCTGGAGCCTAGCCGCCACCCCTGGGTTGGGGGCTTCTGGGGGACAGGCCAGCTGCCCTTCTCAGGGGCAGAGAAACCATGGGGGAAGAAGTGGGGGACTTCCCCTCACGGCAAGGCTGGCTGTCTCGGGACCCCCTGCTGCCCACAGGCGGCAAGGCTGGGAATGGGAGAGGCTCCTCCCCAGAACACATTTGCATAGCCCCACCCCTGAAGGCGAGGGGAGGCTTGTGTGGCAGGGGGATTCCCCACAGTTAGAAAAGAAGCGCATGAGGGAGCAAGGGTCTGTCACACACTAGCCGTCTGTGCGGAAGGGACTGCATGTGGAACCGGGCTATCCTCCTCACCTGGGCAGTCTTCCCGGTGCCAGCAGGGTCTCTGCTGCTCGCCGCCGCCTGCGCACCCCCGGCCTCCGTTCTGGGGGGCTGGATTGCTGCATTCCCGGAAGCGGAACTGGGCGCCCTCCCCGCAGCTCTGGCTGCAGGGAGACCATGGTCCCCAGCCGGCCCATCCGCCGTCCAGGCGGCACAAGGGGTCTGCCCGGCACTGCAGGTGCCCAGCTATGCAGGTGCTGGAAGGGCAGAGGGTTGTTCGGGGGTTTAATCTTCAGAGAATGCACTGCAAAGGCAAACTGCCCCCAGGTTCTGTTGGGCACTCCCTGCCCCTGCGTGGCCACACTCACCAGTTCTGGCAGGGCCCGTAGACGGTCTCCCCTGGCTGAGCATATTCCCACTGAGGGAGCCCCAGCCAGGAGGAGACATTCTGCTCTTCGGGGGCACCTGTGTGGGAGAGGGGAGGTCGGATGGCTGGGCGGGCACTGGCCCCCCGCTGCTCAGGCTGGGTGCCCTAAGTTACCCCCAGATCTCCCCGGAAGTGCCCCCCTCGCCCCCAGGGCACTGTAAACTGAAAGGACAGGGTGGGGGTCTTCACTGACCCTCCCAGATGCTCTGAACAAACTTTGCCAGAGGTGCCACTCAGCCAGTCTCGGTCACCCTCCTTCTCGGCCCCTCGGCCGGGGGGCTTCCCTCGCCCGTTCCCTCAGGAAAAGCAGACCCTTTCCTTCCCCGAGAGCGCCTTGGACTCACCCAGCCAGGGCACCTGGTACTTGCAGTGGCACTGGGAGGGGGCCACACACCACCCATCCTGGAGCAGCTGTCCGTCTGGGCAGGCACAGGCGAGTTGGCAGCCAGGGCTCTCCAAGCAGGCGGTGTCAGGCTGCTGGTCCTCACAGGTACGCGGACAGGGCTTGCCGCAGGGGAAGGCCACCTGCCCCCCCTCACAGTCTGGGGAGACCCAAGTCGTCACACCTCCCACACTTTCAGGCAAGCCTTCCCCGTGTTCCTCTAGATCTTCCCCCCAAGCGAGGGGGTGAGTCCTTGCTCCAGAATGACCCGGGAGGATTTGGGGCCCCCTCCCCAATTTGCGTTTTGATATTAAGAACGGCTTATGCTCCGCGAGTTGTGAAAAGGCTCGGCGGTTTCCCCAAAGTTCTTCATACAAACGATAACAACTCAAAATGTGGGCAAAAGGAGGGCTGCCAAGTCCGCAGCTAGCGAGTGAAGGCCCCCTGGGGTTCCCTTGCTTTGCTCCTTTGGATCCACACCCCGTTCCGCCTCCCCCCCTCAGCACTGGGGGGGCAGCCCTGCTTACGCTGACGAGGTCGGCTGGGTGCTCTCCTGCCAAATTCGTGTTTGCACAGCACGGGGCTTCCTTTCCTAGCTCCTCACCCTGGCACACCTCCAGCCCCTCCTCTCTCCCCACGCCCTGATGCTCGTTCTCACCTTCACAGGCAGTGACTCCGTCATGGCACAGGTGGCTCTGCTGAGCTTCTCCGGGACAGACTGTGCCCCCAAACCGGGCAGGGGGGTTGTTACATTCCCTGCTCCTTGTGGACACGCCATCACAGGCGTTGCAGGGAGACCACATGCTCCATGTGGACCAGCCCCCGTTCACTGCAGGACGCAAAACACAGGAGGGACATTTGATGAGGCCATAGTGGCTGGAGCCCCCCAACTTGTACAGGTAGTCCTCATTTAGTGACTGCCCCGGACAGCGACCATTCACAGTTAGGACGGTGATGAAAAAGTAACTTTGTGACCAATGCCCGTATTTATGACTTTCGCAGGTCTGTAAAGCAAAGGAAAGCTGAAGGAAGGCCATAAGCACACTCAGCAACTGCTTCACTTAGTGACAGCTTCGCTTAATGGCCAAGTTGTCAGTCCCAATTGTGGTTCCTAAACGAGGACTACCTGTATTCATTTATTTAGAGTGTTTCTAGACTGGCCCCAATTGATGTGGACTTTGGGTTGTGTACAGCAAAGTCATTTGCAAAAGAAGAACGGGAAAAAAATATATAAAATGATAAAAACCTGAAGCCTTACAGGGGTCCCTAAGAGCCAAAGAGCCCCAAAACATCACTGCTTTGGCTACTGTATAAAACAACCCTAGGGTGGGGCGGGGGTCTGCATCCACCATAAACCATCAGCCTCTCCTGGGGCACAAAAGGCCTGCAGTTGAGGAGCTCACCCGTTCATCCTCTCCCACGAATCCAGGAGTGGAAACCTCCGTGCGGGATGAGCAACCTGGGCGGGATAGCGAGACCTCCCTTGGCCGGAGGGATGGGGAACGAGCCAAGAAGGGCTGCGCTTGCCCACCCCCCTCAACCAGCTCGGTTAAAAGCCTAGTGGCTGCATTCACCCAGCAGGATGCTTTGACCCTGGTGAGATTTCTGGGGCTTCACGGCTGTGTTCAGCTGAAGACCTAGCAAATTGTTTCACCCGACACGCTAACCTTAGTTAATATGAGCCTTCTTGTGTGTTTTACAGCTTAGTGTGTAGCGTGCAATCCACAAAACTGAGGAATAAAGCCCGTGGTTAAGCATTTTTACAAGCACAGACGTATTTTCTGAAGATCTCAGGACGCTAACCCATGTAACAAACTGAGGCTAATGCTAACCAGGCTTCATCAGCTGGGCACATCCAGTTGCTGGGTAGCCTGGCCGAGCAGGTTGTATGAATGCAGCCCTCCAGGGATGACGGGGATTTGGGAAGGAAACCACAAGGCTGTTACCTGGGCAGAAAGTGGTGATGGGGCAGGCTTTTCTCTGGAGCTGGACCCCACTGTCTCCATGGTACTCTTGCACCCCCTCGCACTCCTGGCCCCCGTGCTGGGGCTTGGGGCAGCCGCAGGTCCGGTAGCGGGTGACCATCTCGCTCCCACACGTCCTGGAACAGGGGCTCCATGGGGCCCAGTCACACCAGCTGCCTGGCACTGGAGGGGCACCAAGGGAGTCATGAGTTCCCCTGGCTGCCTTCCCCCCCCCCGAGGTGAGGGCATGCCCCCAAAGAGCCTCCAAGCCTCAAGGTGGCTTAGGCCCACTAAATCCAGGGCTGGGGTTTCTTCCCCCCCCACCCCGAAGAGGGCAGCAAGCAAAGGGGTGATGCGTGAGGTTGGAAGAGGTCTGGAGAAGGCTGCCTTGCCCCCCTCCAGGGCTGTTCCTCTGAATGCACAGTGAAAATGAGAAGTGACATGCCAAGGAACCCCAGGAAGGGGGTCGCTCCTCCCGGCTCTGTCCTGCCCTGTTGCCACCAGCACGGACCCTGCGTGCACATTGCCCAGCCGGGCTTTGGGGCACTCACCCGCACAGGCCTGGTTGGTGCAGATCAGCTTCCCGTTGGAGCAGGTACTGGGGGGAGAGAAAGGGGGTCGGAGGCCGGAATCGGGAGGGACGGCCCACCACGGAGCCCCCCTCGCTGGATCGCCTCCTCCTGGTGGCTCACCAGTTGTTGCAGCCGTCGGCACGAGGGACGACTTCCCCCGGCAGGTGTCGGCGGCCGCTGCGCAGGTCCAGGCAGGTGCAGCTCGGCTTCTCCACGCAGGCTGAGCCGTTCCCGTGCAAGACCTTCCCCCCGGTGCAGTAGCAGCCTGGCTCACAAGCCCACAGGCAGTGCTGGGGGCGGGGGGAAAGAGGGTGGCTCAAGTTTTTAAACCGGGGAGAAGTCGACTGGGTGTGATGAGAACGACCGATCCCCAGAAACCGAACACCGCAAGTGCCAAGGCCTGCTATTTCACACAATGGGCTCCCCTTCCACTTTTCCCACGCATCTGGGTGGCCGTTGCAGAAACCTTTAGGCCAGTGTTTCTCAATCAGCCTTGGCCGCTTGAAGTTGTGTGGACTTCAGCTCCCAGAATTCCCCAGCCGGGGGGAATGGAACCCTCCTTAAATGTCGCACTCCAGGATCCGACTTGGGATTTTGGAAGGAAGCCCTATAAGCAACAGCGGGCGTCTGGGGCAAATGCCATCACGATGTCGGAAGATTATAAAATCTGTAAGATGCGTGAGGTCATCCCTGCTTCTGTCACACCTATGTATGCACGCTTGCTACTTTTTTTAGCGATTTGCCA